ATTATCATTATCATTATCATTATCATTATCATTATCATTATCATTATCATTATCATTATCATTATCATTATCATTATCATTATCATTATCATTATCATTATCATTATCATTATCATTATCATTATCATTATCATTATCATTATCATTATTAAGGTATGGTTTATAATAATGTTATCAATTATGTATATTTGATATATAATATCTAAAGCAATAATAAATATAAATAATAAACATATATTACTCTCTCTCTATATAATATATATAAATAATTACTCTATATCCAGATCTTATATTTATGTATCTTATGGAATATTATATTTTATATATCACATATAGAATATATATCACATACATAGAATATGAGAAATTTATATTATTTATATTACATTAATTGATATTATTTAATACAATATATTGTATTAAACTCCTGTAATCTATATTAAATATGATAATAAATAGTGACTGGGAACATTCCAGAGAATAATATACATTAAAGATACAATACTATAGATAATACTATATTTTATTTATATACAAATTAAAAAAAAAGTATCTTTTATTTCTATATTCCTATAGATAATAGGAATAATGATATTAAATATAGATTAAATACTATATAATAGATAAAATATAATGCATCAGAATAGAGAACTATTATAATATATATTATTATAAATATATTTCTCTCTATATAGAGCAATATTATATATTATTATAGAGAAATATTATTATATAAAAGTAATAAATCATAATATAAAACTGTATTTGACATTCTTATATTATTACACGTTATAATATTTTAAAATGGTTGTTATATCTTTATATTACTTTACTATTATTATAATATTATTATTATTAAATAATATATTTATATGTTAGTAACACATTTATCTCCTTCTGTATTTATTTAATTTTATTTATATTTTTTCCTACTATTATATTAATGTAGTTTCATACTATTTGAATTTTTAAATTTCTATGCTGAATTGAATATTTCTGAGGCTAAAATTTTAATATTCTAGAATCTGTAACTTTTCAATAACCTCTAATATTCCACAATCTCATCATTTCATCACTTAATATTTTTCATTTGTACTAATAATGACAATATTTAGCATCAATTTTATCATAAGCCCCTATTTTTAGACTAGATCAAAATTCCATTTTTAGATGATAGTCATTTATGTTCTAGCCAATTAATATTTTTATAATTGAATAGTAATTTTACATATTAATTAATGATCCGTGACGGGTGACCGGGAATGGGATCTATGATACTTAATAGCTAATATCTAATAGCTGATGGCTAATAAATAGCATAAATGAGATACAGGCTGCATAGAGGAGATATTAATGACAATGAATAATTAGTAGTTAGGAAGTAGATAGTGATTAATAATGTTAATTAGGCTAATTAGCCCATCTGCAGGCAGACGACCCAACAGGTCCCCCTGGTGTTTATTGCCCGTTAATCCCTTCCTTGCAGGTTCATTCCCTATGACGTCACTGAAAGCGATGACGTCACGGAGAGCGATGACGTCACGGAGAGCGATGACGTCACGGAGAGCGATGACGTCACGGAGAGCGACCCCCCCCCCCCCCTACCCTGGTGCTCCTCAAGGTGGGGCTTGGGCTTCTTGCGCAATTTGGGCTTCTTCTGATTGGTCCTTTCCAGGAGGGCCTTAATGTGCCGCGTCACTGGGAACAGAGGGGAGGGAGATGGGATGGGGGCGGTTAATCCGGGGGGGACACGCGGGAAACAACGGAAACAACCGGGCGGGAACGAAACGAAACGGGAGCAAAATCTCAATGGTAAAATAAATAGAAGTAAAAAATGGGATAGAATAGGACATTGAAGGTATCGTTAAATTAATGATGGAATTGAACATGAAATAATAAATATGTCGATAAATAAATGATAGAAGAGAACATGAAATAATTAATATGTCGATAAATAAATGATAGAAGAGAACATGAAATAATTAATATGTCGATAAATAAATGATAGAAGAGAACATGAAATAATTAATATGTCGATAAATAAATGATAGAAGAGAACATGAAATAATTAATATGTCGATAAATAAATGATAGAACATCAAATAATAAATATATTGATAAATAAATGATAGAATAGAAATTAAATAATAAATATATAGATAAATAAATGATAGAATAGAACAGAAATAATAAATATATTGATAAATACATGATAGAATAGAACATAAATAATAAGTATGTATATAACCAAATGATAGAACATGAAATAATAAATATATTGATAAATAAATGATAGAACATGAAATAATAAATATATTGATAAATAAGTGATAGAATAGAACATGAAATAATAAATAT